AAACTTGGGAGTCGTTTCCACATCAACAGTTGGGTCTGTTTGTTTGTGAGACAGTTCAATTTGTGGTCCCAGGCTGGCCTCAAACTCACAAGCTTGCTTCTGTCTTCCAAGTGTTGGACTGCAGGCATGCCTGGCTCTACTGGCTTTTGAACCAGTTCACTAAGATGTGAACGCGTCCCTCTTAGCACCTACTTTCCCACACACTCTAGTATCTCTACTAGGAAAACGGCACCAAGAACTCTACCATTATCAGAGACATAGTGGGGTGGGGGCTGAAAACGTTCACATTAGTAGTCCTTTGAAAATACTTTCAGGCAAACGAGATGTTCAAAACACAAAATTCTCCTGCCACCCTCTCAAACATGCATTACTTTTACTTTTTGAGACAGTATCTTTTGTCCCTCATGTGGGCCTCAAACTTGCGATGTAGCTGAGGATAGCCTTGACTCTTCTTCATCCTGCCTCTACTTTGAAAGTGCTAGGATTATAGGAGTATGCCATCATGTCCAGCCAGGAAATATTTTTTCCCCTTTGTTTCTTTTGAGACAGGGTTTCTCTGTGTAGCCTGGCTGTCCTTAGAACTCACTCTGTAGACCAGGTTGACCTCAAACTCCCAGAAATCCGCTTGCCTCTGCCTCCCGAGTGCTGGGATTAAAGGTGTGCACGACCACTGCTTGGCTTTTCTTCCTTTTTATCTATTCTTCTCTCATACATTACATGCCGACTACAGTTTCCCTCCCCCAGATCCACTCCTCCTCCTTTCCCTTGAGAAAAGGGCAGGCCTCCCAAGGATAGCAACCACACATGGCATATCACACATAGGCATAAACCCTCATATCAAGGCTGCACAAGAACATATTTTTAAAACAAGATAAACTATAGCTGAAAATATTTACAATGTAAATTAATTTTAAATTGCATACTTATATTGTAGCTTCAAATCCAGGCTCTGTAGAGAGTTTCCATCTTTTCTAGTGCTCCACTGACTGACTTTTAAAGTTTCTTGTTGGTGGGTGGAACCCTTGGAGTCTACAGAGATTCAAAGCAACAGGCCAGGTTCTCAAGTGTTGCATACTTGATACTTAGTTTTAGAAACTTTATTGTGCTAGAAATTGGGACATACATAGGTCTTTTATATACCTAAGAAAAGTCCTTTTCTTTGTAGGAAATTAAAGTCTTCAAGTAAAAAGCCTTTTTCATTCATGGTTGAAAAAGGCATACGGCTTCCTTATGCTTTTTTTTTTTTTTTATATAATGACATGGGTTGTTTAATCATAAATTGAGGTATTTGATGAAACCTCATATAAAAAGAAAGGATACTAATTATACATGACAGGAACATGTTGCATGCTGGATTCAGCAAAGCCACACTCATTGTAAAGATCAAAAACCATTGTTTATTCTCATTTTGAAAAAAAGGAAGCCAGAATTACATATCTGGGCATTAAAAAGCCAATCTCCAAAGAATGAAGATTTGTGTTTTACTACACATACTAACATAACATTCCCAAAATATGCCTGGAGTATGCCTTATTGGTGAAGTGTCCATGTGGCATACCCAAGGTCCTAGGTTCAACGCCTCAGAATTACAAAATAAGAAATAAAAAGTATGCCAAAGTACATTAGGTCAAGCATCTGGGAATCTACACTGAAAGCTTTCACTAAATTAAGTATATATATAATATACTTAATATTATATATATAATATAATATTATATATATTATACACACACACATATATATAATATACATGTATTAATGTACTATTGCTGTACTAGGATGAAGTCCAAGGCCTCACACTGAATACAAACTCAAGCACTTGCTTCATTCCCACTTAAATGCCAGCATTCATGGTGATGTGGACATAGATGGCAGTATCTTTTCAAGTCATAGTCCTAACTTTTATGGTTTTTTGGAAGAAACAAAAAAAAAGAAAGAAAAGTGAATGTGAACATCCTCAAAATAATATGGTCAAATGAGTGAATTCATCATTCTTTTTACGTGGTAACTTAACCAATGTAGCATTCTTTTCTTTTCTTTTTTTTTTCGAGACAGGGTTTCTCTGTGTAGTTTTGGTGCCTGTCCTGGATCTCGCTCTGTAGACCAGGCTGGCCTCGAACTCACAGAGCTCTGCCTGCCTCTGCCTCCCGAGTGCTGGGGTTAAAGGCGTGCACCACCACTGCCTGGCTTCCGTGTATCTTTCTTATAAGCAACTGTCACAGATAACAAAAGGATTAAAAAAAGGACTTCATGTATGAATATTACATAAAGCATTTAATAAAAAATAGTACATTTAAGATTTTTCAAATGGGAACTTCACATTCCTCAAGACACCCATCTGAAGCCTCAATCCGGACACACACACTCTGCCCAGAGCCCTGCTAGCTTGTCTCAGTATCTTATTGGGAGAGAAGCATCTGGTCAAGTACAGCACCTCGAAAAGCCCCATTGGAAAGCGTTTCTTTACTTTTAATTAATGACATTTGTCCAGAAATCTCCATTTTGCTGCTTCAGATTCTTTCAGGTATAAAAACCAGTTTTCACACATGAACCATTTAAATATCTGTGGACAGTTTTAATTTACCACTAAAAGGTATCTTTGAATTTTCCTAGTTTGGGTCATTTTTCTCCTGAAGGTTTCCTGGTGTCAAGCTCAGGATTCTGAAGGGCAGATCATCACAAAACTACTCTCCATCTGACACTATCCTCTCCAGCTATTTTCGTATATCATCTAAACCCAGAAGTCAAGTCTAACTTGGGTTTTCTGGACATAAGCCCATGTTCTTATATGTATTCCTATTAAATTCACTCAGCTTACCAATAATCAATAAATCAAAACATCTACTAGATTCACATTCTGTAGTTCAATTTCTATTACTCTTCTCTGCTTTATATCAATTTTTCAGTGTGAGGTTTTGTTTGTTTGTTTGTATGATTTTCTAGGCCTGTAGATCCAACTTAGGGTCTTTCAAATGCTCTGCAATGCTGGTCCACTAAACTATATCCATGGCCCAAATTTTGGTTGCTCATATTGCTTAAATTACAAATTAGAAGCCAGGCAGGGTGGTGGGTCCCCGTAGTCACAGCTACTTGGGAGGCTGAGGCAGGAGGATCATTTAGGGCTAAGACTTTAAGGCCAGTCTGGATAACAGTAAGACCTGAACTTTTAAAAAAATAATTACAAATTAATCTATAGGACATCATTGTGGCAGAAAGTTTTCCTGTGTCCCACCCGGTCCTGAAGCCACTCAGACCCAAGTAAACACACAGAGGCTTATATTAATTAAAACTGCATGGCCATGGCTTAAGCCTTTTGCTAGCTAGCTCTTACATCTTAACTTAACCCATAAGTATTAATTTATATATTGCCACATGTTCTGTGGCTTTTCCTGCATCCCATTACATGTTGCTCCTTGGGCGGCTCGCTGGCATCTCTCCCTGCCTTCTTCCTGTCTCTCTCTTTGAATTTCCTGCCTGCCTCTAAGCTGCCTTGCCTTAGGTCAAACAGCTCTATTTATGAGCCAATCAGAGCAACATATATTCACAGCGTACAAAAAGACATTCCCCCATCACTTCATTTATCAATAAAAGAAACATTGAGCTTAATTTCAAAGGCTTATTGCTTTGTGAAAGGCATATGTGAACTTTCTGTACTATTTCATCAACTCTTCTATCTAAAATTATTTCAAAATAAAAAGTTGCAGAAAGAAAAAAATTGTTCCTTATTCCACATGTAGTCAAATTATTTAAAATTGAGAGCATCTCAGTGAAGTGATAATGTTTTTGCTTTTTCTTTTCTTTTCCTTTTTTTTTAAATATTTATTTATTATGTATATAGTGTTCTGCTTGCATGTATGCCTGCAGGCCAGAAGAGGGCACCAGATCTCATTACAGATGGTTGTGAGCCACCATGTGGTTGCAGGAAATTGAACTCAGGACCTCTGGAAGAGCAGCCATCTCTTCAGCCTGTGATGATGTTTTAACTTCATGCTTACAATTGATTTCCTTTTCATTGGCCTAATAAAAATATCTGTGCAGTAACTGAAGACAAAACATTCTCTCCTGCCTTCCCTACAAAAACTAGAAGATAGAGATTTTGACAAATGGTTCGGGAGTGTACAACGGTATAACCACTTTGGAGTGAGTTTCACAGAATTCTCTACACTAAAATGTTATTTATACCTTAATGACTGGCAATACCACTCCTAGGTATCTACCGAAGAGAAACACATGTGCTCACACATATATACACAAAACTGGTGCTCACATATACACATACCCAAAACATGTGCTCACACATACACATACCCAAAACATGTGCTCACACATACATATACAAAATACTTGATTAAGAACGTTCACAGTAGCTTGACTTTGGTAGCTGCCACTGAAAACAACCCCATTCTTTCTTTTATCAACAGGAAAATACATCAACAAACTGGTATATTCAGACATATAAATAAGCAATGATCAATATCAAAATGGATAGAACAGAAATGCTGAGTCAAGGAAACTAGAGCCAGAGAGTAGCTAATGTGTGCCACTGTTGCCGTTTTGTTTAAGAACACGGCTGACGACAGTGGTAGAAGTCAAGGCTGCTCTCTAGAAGGGCAGCAGATAAGATGGACTCAAAGGGTCAAGGGAACTCTCTGGAGTAACTTACCTGTTCTAGAGCATGGTTTCCATATATGTTAACAATTACATAAAAATATGCATTTCAATTATATTGCAATGGAAATGAAAATCATAGTTCTATTAAACGCATACACACACACACACACACACACACACACACACACACACACACACACACTCCCCACACTGGGTGTTTGAGACAAGAGGCAGTCCAGGCTGGCTTCCAATTTCCAGCCATCTTCCTGCCTCAGTGCTGGAGCTATAGGCATGCTCTACTATAGCTGGCTTGAAAACACATTTTTCTAAGAGGAAAACGCAATGGGAACAAGCACTGAAGAATTCTAGCATTTCCATTTCCTTCTTACCTGTCAAGGAGCTGCTCATGCTTTTCTAGAGCATCCTTTTCTGCTGTCACTGCTCGGTTCTTTTCAGCAAGAGCGTTATCTCTGGCTTCTCGGAGATTTCTAAAATTCAAACATGCATCTCGGTTATTTTAAATGCATAAGTATCTATCTTTTAAAGGTTCACAGATTTGTTTCCAGTGTGTAGATGACTATCTTAAGGACTTCCTAGAGGCTAGTGATGCCGAGTGTACATTACATGAAGCTGCCTGGCTGGGACAATATTCTGACAGTAGGCAGTAACACAGGTGCAAACACAACTGCCCCCATGTTTGAATACTTTCCTCATAGCTTTTCCCTCATGGGTTGAAGGGCAGGCTAAACACTGTGAATATGCTTATCACATTTTAACCTTACCATAATCCAGTGAGGCAGGTGTCATATCCACAAGCACATTGAGGTTGAGGACAGTTACTAATACTTTATGCAATACTTTAAGTAAAAGATGTATGAGCAGAAGTCACAGGAATCAACGTAAGAAGGAAGTCTGAGACACTGGCAAAGGACAGCTGAAATATCGGGTCCTAGAACCTTAGTTGTGCAAGAAGGCAAGTTAACACAGAAAGGCTAATGAATTAGGACAAGGGAGAAAGGACAGAGGACCCAAAGAATGCCACACAGATTACAGACTAGAGATTGCTACTGGAGAACAGTGCTCTAGAGACAGAGTGGCATGCTCCCACCCAGTGCTAACCCGGCCTGGCCCTGTTCAGCTCCTCAGAGCACGTGAGACGGGCTGTAGTCAGGGTGGTATAGCCTCCCACAAAAAAGCATTTTCTGCGGCAGAATTTTAGTTGGCCATAAGTCAGGGTGTCTCCATTAGAATGGCTGGATGGAGTAAAGCTGAGATGATGGACAATGCATGGCTTAAGCACTGTGAGTCCACAATATTACACAAGTCATCCACTTATGACGACAGCAGGAATCGAAACTGTTGAAAAGGTTCCCCTTAGTGACAGCCAGGGAGAATACTCCAGTGGGAGAAGGAACAACGCTGAGTACTTAGGAGATAATACAGCCAGGCACGAACTTCTTAGAACCAATTTTCCTTATGTCTTAATACAGATGAAACCTGGGGTCAAGAAAAATACCAACTAAGCTTCTTCCAGATAGTCACTTAACTTTAAAAAAACATTCTACTTCCTTAATAGAGTTATAATATAGAGAAATATAGGGCATAATACAAGTGATTTGCTCACATAACGTCTACAAACCCTTATGATGCATTTGCAGTACACTGAAGTATAGCGCGTTTGTACAAATGGCCTTGGGACACAGTCTGAAAAGGATCAAACTTTGCATCAGGTAATATCTACTCTGAAGCCCGGGCTTCTTACATCACATCACAGAATGACTCGTAAAGAGCTGGGCTGGATGCTAGAAGTTGGTTTATCATTAATAGAAATGAAAATTCAATGGTTTGAATACATCTATGTGATACACACTGGATAGAAATGCCTAGTGATCACACTTGCGGTCCCTACACTCAGCGCAGCCTTTCTGCACAGTGATTCAGTAACAATTTTTTTTTTAAAGATTTATTTATTTATTATGTATACGCTCTTCTTCCTGCAGGCCAGAAGAGGGCGCCAGATCTCATTACAGATGGTTGTGAACCACCATGTGGTTGCTGGGAATTGAACTCAGGACATCTGGAAGAGCAGCCAGTGCTCTTAACCTCTGAGCCATCTCTCCAGCCCCCGATTCAGTAACAATTTAAAATTTAATAAAACATGCCAATCACTACAGAGTGATTCATCAGCCAAAGTTAAGAGCCACATATAAAATAGTTTTAAAAATCATAAAGGTCATTTTTGTCAAAAAATAGTGTGAATAATTTTTTATGTTATTCTCTAAATAGAACTGCTTTCTTAAATAGCTATTACAAAATATTTTTTGATGTCATCATGATTGACAACCATCTGACTTTAAAAACTATTCTATTATTAACTATACAAAACACGAAAAATAAATTTTAGAACACAATTCTCTAAGTATCTTAAATATTTATATATTTTTATTCTAAGATGCCCTACATATTTTAGCCAGTAAGTCACAAATTAGTTCCAATTTTCCTTTCTAAAAATGGCCTCATTATTTCAAAATGTGATTTAGTAGTGGAATGTGAGGTAGGTTACATTTGCGATACTCGTTAAAGACAAGTGCTTAGCTAGTAGATGGAGGAGTCTCACTCCTAGCCATACTTCCTTCCTAGTCACGATGAGTATCAGAAATAAAGCCAAGCCACAGAGAATCAAGTAAGAAGAGGTATTAGTAGAGAATAATAGTATACTTGGCCATAGACAGTCTGCAACATCCAGCTAGACGAAATTCCAGGGCCCTTGGAAGAGGGGAGAATTATTCTTAACTGTGGTAAGGGACAGAGAATGAAGGGGATGTTTTTCTAAAAAGCGGCAGACACATGAGAAACGGTCAAGGACAAATAGCTAAGACAATTCTGAAAGAGAAGACCAAAGCGAATAGGAGGAGTTCTAGAAGCCCAGGGCTTCACCGTTAGTATTTCTGCTATGTGTCTGCATAAGATTTCCCTGTCCATTTGTTCTTCCTCAGCTGTCATACCTTCCATAGCTCGTCTACAGCTGACATACCTCCTTTAAGATTTACCAGTTGACATAATTCAAATTAAGTCTGAGAGAGAGCTAAACTGACTAGATTCTTCCACTGACAACAGCATTACAGTAAGCATACAGTGTTCACCATACATCAGGGCTGTTCATATCTTTACTTTATATTGAGAAACTGTTGTGCTAGGATGTGAAACGTCTTCATAAACTCCTGTGTTTGAACACTTGGTCCCTAGATGGTTGTACTGTTTGGGAAGGTTGTGGAACCTTTAGGAGGTAGAGCCTTGCTGCAGGAAGTGGGTCACTGGGGGCAGGTCTTGAGGTTTTATGGCTGGCCCCACTTCCTGTTTGCTCTGCTTCCTGATGCAGATCCTCAGTGATCAGCAGGTCTCTTGCTCTTGCTGCCATGCTCTGGTAGTTTGAATTAGAATGGTCACCATGGGCTCCTCAGTATGAATACTTGATCCTCAGTTGGTGGAACTGTTTGGGAAGGATTAGGAGGTGTGGCCTTATTGGAAGGGGTGTGTCACTGGGGGCAGGCTGTGAGGTTTCAGAAGGCCCACATATTTCTAGTTAGCTATCTCTGCTTTCTACTTGCAGATCAAGATATAAGTTCTCAGCTACCACTCCAGGACCATGTCTGCTGCTATGCTCCTTGCCATGATGGTCATGGACTCTGACCCTCAGAAACTTTAAGTCCCATGGAAATTCTTCATCTATCAGTTGCTTTTGTCATGGCATCTTATCACAGCAACTGAAAAGTGAGTACAGTGCATGTCTCCTGCCTCCAGTTATATCGTCTCCCCACAACGAAATGATCCCTTTGAACTGTAAGCCAGAACACATCCTCCCTGAAATTGCTTCTTGTCAGGTGTTTGGTCACAATGAATGAGAAAAGTAACTAAAACAGAACTTGTCACAACAATGCTATCAATCATAGGTTGTATCATCTCCATTTTAAAAATACGTTTCAAGACTCAAATACGAAGACTCAGGTCAAGGTTACATCCTAAGGTACATTGTGGAGCCCGTGTATCAATCTAGTCTCTATCCTGCCTTTCTCAGGTCTCTTTTCTTCCACAGACATTTCTTCCTTGGGATACTTAGACATTATGAGATTTGTATTATATGACCACACCACAGTACAAACAGATGCCAACTCAGAATTATCCTTAAAAGGATTGTGAACATATTATGGATTTGTTTCTATGGGCCACAGTATACATGTTCTTTTAAAATTAGACTGGTTTGACAAAACACCAGATGCACTCCAACCCTGATACAGATAAAACAATAACTTCCACATAATTAATGAATAATCCATTTCCAAATGGTAAATACATTAGAAGATGTAATAAATATAATTATAGAACAAATAGCAGGAATTCAAATGTTCATCAAAAGAGAAACTTGAAAAACTAACAGAGACTCTCTATAGCATGTATAAACTAATGGGACTGAGATTTTAAAAATCCAAACCGAATGTAATAAAATATAACTAGAGTAACACTGAAATATGTCAGGAGCCGCCCAACTGGCCAAACTTCAGGAGCTTGGTTCCTGAACATCCTCTACTGGATCCACCCCACCAAACCCAGCCTGAGCATACTCAAACCCCAGGATGCTAAAATCTTGAATATAAAATGGCATACACTTTACAAATGATTTACAACAAGCACCCCCTGTGTACTTTAGATTACTCAGAAGGCCCAATATAATGTAACACTACATGAGTTGTACTGTACTGCTTAAGAAATTATGACAAGGAAAAGTGTCTACATCTTTAGTACAAACACAATCTGTTTCCAAGTAGTTTTGATCTGCAGTTGATTAAATCAGGAGATAGGGAACCCACAGATAGGGTGAAATTAACTACCTTTAAAACAATTGCATAAAAAAAAACCATTTTTATACAGCTAAGATTTCACCACCAAACTGTTTTTCATGATTCTTTCACATTGTTGCCTACTAACTTCTCCTAGGTAAACAGATACAATTTTCTTATCTGCTTCAGATTAGTTTTGAAAGGTACATTGAAAGGAAGGATGGAGAAAGGAAAAAAATAATAATAATTAGGATAGAGAAACTTGCATAAACCAGAAGTTGCTTGAATAAAATAGGAGATAAAAATAAATCATAATGTTCAATGAAAATCTCTTAAAAGTTAAATTTTCCAGGGGGCAGTAGCACATGCCTTTAATCCCAGTACTCAGGAGGCAGAGGCAGGGGAATCTCTGTGAGTTCAAGACCAGTCTGGTCTACAAAGACTTCCAGGACAGCCAGAACTGTTATACACAGAAACCCTGTCTTGAAAAAACAAAACAAAAACCCCAACAACAATAACAACAACAACAAAAAGCCCAAAATTTAAGTTCCTAATAATTTATCTATACATCAAGGGTATAATATCATAACAAAATGGGCATGTTTAACATGTACTATAAAGTCACTTGTGTAGTAGACAATTGAATACAGGTA